CTTCTTCGAATTCCAGACTAAGGGGGCAGAAGGATCCCCGACCCGAACCGGTTTAGGGTTTAGGGTCTAGCGTTTTAGGGTTTAGAGTTTAGGGTTTAGGGTTTTAGGTTTAGGGTTTAGGGTTTAGGGTTTGAGGTTTAGGGTTTAGGGTTTATAGGTTTAGGGTTTAGGTTTTCTCGTGCGAATATTTGGAGTTCTCTCCTGACCCTCGTAGAAGTTGCCAACGAGCCACAAAGCCAATGAACAGCCAAGACTGGAACATCTTATAAACCGAACTGTTTGGGCCCTTTAAGGAAATCCTGACAGGAACTCGGAAAGAAACTGTGGGAGGTGTGTCGATTTCCTCATTTCCTTGAGGATCTTCGGGGTGACGAATCCCTTCGATTGGATGGAGCTGATCTCGCTGCAGGGCCTGCCCGGTCTCTTTATTTCGAGTTTTCTTTAATTGGGCTTAGAGGGGCGTGTAAACTTCATGGGGTGTTCATTAGGGGTGCCCAATAGTACTTGGTGCTAAACAAATGTGAGTCATAGGTACTTTGGGTTGCAGATAGACCTTTGCTGCTTGGTTGTCTCAAGATAAAACACCTTGCCAGGCACGCTTGCCCAGGCTGTATACTTTTACAAGAGGCCACGAACTGGTTATAAGCATCACACCACTCCAAACTCTAACAATCCCCTGATTGTGTCTGGATAATAACCCTAGAATAGAATCCTAAATAACTACTTATACTATTTTGAGGGGGGTTCTTTAAAAGGCCCCTAGCCCCTACATTAACTCCAACTACCCCTATAAACTCTAAATTACCCTAAACCCTAAACCCTAAACCCTAAACCCAACTAACCCTATAAAGTCTAAAGTGTAACCAGCCTCCAGAATCCTGGCCTAGCGGGGGGGGGGGGGGGTTCCATGGTTGCGCCTTGCAACCATGGGCCCTTCATCTTGAAGCTCATCTAATGGGTTTAGGGTTTAGGGTTTAGGGGGGCTTCATAGCCAGAATAGGGTTTGGGGATCTATTATACTATAATTCTAACAAGGAGCCCCCCCCCCAACAAAAAAAAAAAGAGCATTGGTAATTGTTTAAGCCCCTACATTAATCTCTGAGTTCACAGGTCCCTCCTAAAGTGAAACACCCGAAACCTAACTTCAACCCGAAACCCTAAACTTCTAAACCCTAAAGCCCTAAAACCCTTTAATCCTAAACCCTAAAACCCTCAAATCCTAAAGCCCTCAAGCCCTAAACCAAAAACCCTAAACCCTATACCTCGAACTCCAAGCCCTGAAGCCCTTCAACCCTCAAGGGCTCTACGTTAGGGTTTAGGGTTTAGGGTTTAGGGTTTAGGGTTTAGGGTTTAGGGTCGTAGTCGGGTATGGGATCTTCAACGAGCTTGCGGGGTAGGCAAGACGAACTTCTTCGAGAAGCGCGTGGGCGAGTACCAGAAGGACTGCCGGCTTTAACAGGGTTTCATAGGGTTCCTTTAAAGGGTTCCTTGAAGGGTTCTATAAGGGCTACTATATGGGTTTAGGGCTTAAGGGCCTTGATGATTGAATAGGGTTCATTTCAGGGTACTTTGCAGGGCTCTGCTAGAAGCACAGCAGATGGTGAATTGGGTGAACCATCTCATAAATTGTTTCGAGAGATCAAGAGTGGTCGTGGTCGTTCTCAAAGCAATCACACCCTAACCTCCCAGGTACCTACTATATAGGGTACTAGAGCCCCTAGGGCCCTATATAGTAGGTACCTGGGGGGTTAGGGACAGCTGGACCCTAAATCCAGATGATAACCCCCACATGCCAAGCCCCAGATTTTCGATCACTCACCATCAGGCAGGTGTGATGGCTGGTGGCACCGATTCCCTGAGTGCCTTTTCTTTGAACGAGGACTTCTGAAGCACAGCTTAGGGGCATGGTGTTTTGGAATGTCGGGAGTAAGGCGACGGATCAGGATGAAGTCGTTGAAGCCTCATATACCATGTTCATTATTACTATTGTCACTTCTCTTATTGGTGCTATCTTTATTGCGGAGATAATGTCTGTATTTTTATCACCATAATATAGCCACTGTACGATTACTGGAACTGTTATTATTGCAACCATTAATGTTGTATGAATTAGTATTGTTTCTAGTATTACGACGTTGGAACTTCCGATATTTGCTGATCCAGGCTGCGTTTTTGCGCAGCCAACTTGGATCCTTGGGGACTCAGGGGAAACCCAATCGTCGATTGGGCGGAAGGCCCTTTTTGGCTTTCTTCCAGTTTATCCTTGTGGCCATGTCAGAGACAACCACAAGTACTTCCTTGTGGTGCGTCGCAAGCAACGCCTTCTGCGACCTTCTCTGGCCCACCGTTTCCAACCAATACTTGATGCTGTCTGTTCGAAACCTCAAGGGCCAGAGCCCTTTGAAGGGTTTAGGGCCGAATTCGCAAAGACATCAAAAGAGCTGAACATGAAATGGCTAGGGTATAGTGTCGCATACTTCGAGCCTGACAGCCTCAATTCTTTTGCTGTTTCATTTTCTGCCGCGGGGCCAGTGTCTGGGCGGCACTCTCTCGCGCATGGGCTCCGACAAAATGTTAAAGGGTTCAGGGATCAGGGCTGGTTCGGGTCTCCTCTTTTGTTTCGAGTTTCAGGGCCTGGACATAGGGGGTCTGTGTCGCTGTGCTTAACATTTTGGTTTTGAGGCTAGGACTTCTCTGCCTTGTCGGACCCCAACTCGCAAGGCTGGGTTGGAGGGTCTTGTGGGTTAGCCTTGAGGCAATACCGGTTCCCCCAGAGACGTAAGCCCGCCTTGTGTCCCTCTTAAATCAACCTTGTTAAGCGAAAGCAACCCGCTCGCTATAGCGTTCTCTCGCGTTCTCGGCATGATCGTCCCTGTAATTGGCTTTCTGGTGTCACCGGTAGCAGAGCGGCGCGTTCCAACGTAGACTCCTCGATCGGGTTATAGAGATAAAATGCGTTTCCAAAGCTTGCCAGTAGCAGGCGGCTGGCTTGTCCTTCCACACTTCTACTGCGTACTTGGGCTTAGGAGTTTAGGAATCAGGGTTTTGGGTTGTACTCAGAGAGCCCAATGCCCCTTAATTAATGGATATAATTACCTTCAATTATCGGGGCCTTATTCTTATGAGTTAAGGTATGTTCCCGAATTACGGGGTATCAGGTTCTCTGGGTACAACCCAAAACCCTCCCTAAACCCTAAACCCTAAATCCTAAGCTTGTAATGTAGGAGCCTGGTTAAGAAACCCTGGCCCTATCACCCCAATATATATTAGGACTCATATTAGGAACCCCCATAAAGGCCCAGGTTTTTCTTCATCAGGTTCCTATATTAATTAGTTCTTGAGAATGATGGGTGCTCAAGTACCTCCCAATGACAAGGGGCCTGCACCCCCCTAGCTGTGAAGCTGAGCCCGAAGCGCAGCAACCGCGAAACTGGGCATAATGCAGGGTCCTAAATGATTACCTATACTATTTTTGTGGTGATTCCGTATGATAATTATATACATATATATATATATATATAACTACATATATATATATATACACATATTATAGGGGCCTAAATTCTTACCTATATTTTTTTTGGGGGGGGGCTCCTTACAATAATTACCCAATTCTAATTATGAAGGCTTTAGGGTTTCATGCTTTAGGGGGGCAGTTCCATTGCAGTCCGGCGGGTGTTCGAAGCGATACGGTTTAGGGTTTAGGGTTTAGGTTTAGGGTTTAGGTTTTAGGATGCCTCATGTTGCATCTCTTGGTGCTGTCAGAAGAGCAAGACAGACCACAAGACTACCTGTAGCACTTTCAATTGCAGCATTGCTTCTCACAGCAATATCAGTCCGGCAAAAAAAGAAAGATTTTAAGAACTTTAAAAGTCGAGGGTAACACCCTGGATTAAGGGTGGGAGTCCCTGCGCACCCTTTCCACGGATAGTCAGACCCTAAACCCTAAACCCCAAACCCTAAACCCTAAACCCTATAGTTAGCCGTAAACCCTAAACCCTATAGTTAGACCCTGAACCCTAAGCCCCTAAACCCCTAAACCCGTAAACTCTGCACCTATATTAGACCCTAGATCTTCAACCCCAAGCTCCTAACTCGAAACCCTCATCCGGGAGGGTTTGAGAATTCCGGGTTCAGGGTTTATAGGGTTTAGGGTTTAGGGTTAAGCGTTCAGGGTTTAGGGTTCAGGGTTTAGGGCCTCGTGAACCGAGCGAGCAGGTGGGCCTGGATGACAAATCCGGCTTAAAGCTCGTCTTGGAGCTGCCTGAGAGCACCAGCTGCTGCTACCAGGCTCTCACTGGGGGATTCCGTGCTCTAAAGGACCCCAAAACCCTATTGTAATTATTAAGGCCCCTATAATACCCTAAACCCTTATTTTAGCCCTTATAGAACCCTTTAAACGCTATGAAACCCTATTCTAACTGTTTAGGTCCCTTACCCGAGACCCAAGACCCCTACACCTGAACTCTTAACCCCACAGCCCTACACCTTAAAATCCTCAACCGTGAACTCAAACCCTTTACTGTAAGGGTTTAGGGTTTAGGGTTTAGGGTTTAGGGTTTCCCTATAAGCTCTACACCTGCAGCCGGAACTCGAGCACTCTTCAAGTCTGAACTCGATACCATCCATCCATCCATCCATCCATCCATCCATCCATCCATGCCTAAACCCTAAACCCTAAACCCTAAACCCCTAAACCCTAAACCCTAAACCCTAAACCCTAAACCCTACGCTTGCACGCTTGCGCGTGTTGCGTGCAAGTCCAGGTTGATGCTGGATGGTTGAGGGTGAAGACCCTAGACCCTAAACTCTAAGCCCTCTCTGTGGCCAAAAAACCCTCACCGCTTTAAGGAATTAAATAAATAAACAAACAAATATATATATATATATATATAGATACATACTACACATGTATACATATAGAATTTCCACTGCAAGGAAACTGAAAATGCTAGGTTTCTCGGCGACAGGTCAAGCCTAAACCCTAAATTCGATTCCAGGTTGATGGTGGCTGGTTGAGAAAAGAAGGCTACAGTGGCCAGATCCTTCAGTTCGTCCTGCTGCTCCGTCCGACAGGATTGAGAGTTTAGGATTTAAGTTTTAGGTTAAGTTTTTTTGGTGTTTATAGGATTCACGGTTTTGGGTTTAGGATGTAGCGTTTTGGTTTTAGGAGAAGGTTAGAATTCAAGGTCTAGGCAGGATCTGCAAGGCATTCGGCATGCGCTTTGAAGTCCTCACTAGAGGGCTAAGGGTGGTATGCTTTGGGCGTCAAAGGAGGGCACCTAAAGCCTTTAATGAGGCCTCAACATGAGGGCCTGAATGATTACCTATATTATTTTGGGGGTTCCTTATTATAACTGTACTGTAAAGGACCCCAAAACCCTACTCTAATGATTAAGGCCCCTACAGTAGGCTGTTAAGTTTAGGGGCCAACCCTAAACCCCAAACCCATCCCACACGCTGTAGCCGCGTCGCCTATAAACCCTAAACCCATCATACACCCTTTAGCCATCAACCCTGAACCCTTGAGCTTTAAACCCTAAACCCTAAATCTTTTAGCCAAAAACCCTCAACCCAAAGCCCTTTAGCCACAAAGCCTAAGCTAAACCCTTTAGCCAAAAAAAACGTCTTCATGCGACATATGGGTGGTTGTCAGAATTAGGGTCCCTTTTTGGGTACCCTAAATATTAGGTGCCGTATTATATTACGGACCCCAAAAGGGACCATAATTTTGACAACCATCCATATGAAGCACAGGTTCCACTTACCTGTCGAAGCAGATCCGACGGAGGCCAGGGTTGCTGAGTTGCTGAGACGACGGCTGCAGAGTTCTACGGTTAACGGCTGCAGGGTTTTAGGGTTTAGGGTTTAGGGTTTAGGGTTTAGGGTTTAGGGTTTAGGGTTTCGGTTAGGGCTTAGGACGGGTTTTGATCGTTGGATTGCTTTCGGGGCAGCTCGTGACGGGCAAGAGATCTGAGGCAACAACCCGCTTCAGACATCTCCTCTGAGTACTTCTGAAAGACGAACATGAGGCCCCTTTGAAGGACGCTTGGGGTCCTGGTATCCCACCCCAAACCAGTGAGCCCTAAACTCTAGTCCCTGTCCGTGAAACCCAACCCTAAACCCTAAACCCTAAACCCTAAACTTCTAAAGTGGCAGGTGTGCAATCTGAGCGGCCTGGGCGGTGAGAAGGCCCGGAGCTGAGCCTAGAAGCTCAAGCAATACGGGACCTTTTAGGGTTTAGGGTTTAGGGTTTAGGGTTTAGGGTTTACGGTTTAGGGGTAGTGGTGGTAGCAGTAGTAGCAGTAGTAGTAGTAGTAGTAGCAGCAGTAGTGGTAGTGGTAGTGGTATGCTTTGACCCTATGTTATGATCTCATGTCGTCCTGGAGCTCCCGAATTCCGCAGGCGGAGTTTTCCGCAGTACGCTGGGCACCCCTGGACGAGGCCCCAGAGCGTCCGAGGTAGCAGTAGGGAGACCCCTTAAAGGGGACCCTTCTTAACCCTATTGTGGCTCTCTTAAAAGGGGACCTTATTGAGAGGGTTTACATATCCCCAAGGGTCTTCCTAATCCTAAACCCTAAACCCTAAACCCTAAACCCTAAACCCTAAATCCTAAACCCTAAACCCTAAACCCTAAACCCTAAGCCTAAGCTCCAGAGCAACCGAGGGAGGATCTCCGGGATTAAGGTTTGGAGTTCAGGGGCCAGGGTTCAGGGTTCCCGGCCGCTAAGCTTGAATCCAAAACCCTGGAATTTCATGAATTCAGGCTCAGAGTTTCGGAAACCCTAAACGGCTGCACTTACAAGAAACCCAACCCACAAACCGCCGAAACCCCTAACCCCCTAAACCCTAAACCCCTAAACCTCCTTGCTTGATCTCGGTCGTTTGGGCCAGGCCGTGGCGGGCGTCTGGGAGGCCAAGGCCCCGGCCTACCGCTACCTCCAGGAACGGGCGCAGAGCACCCTGTCTCGGAGTTGCTCAGGGCTCAAGGGGTTTTTAAGGGTTTCCAGGGTGTTCTAAGAGCATTGAAGGATTTCGTTAAATTGTTTTGAGCGGTTTATAAGGGCTAATTAAGGGCTGTTTAGACCGAGTGTAGGGTTTTGTGAGCGCTCTGCGCTTGTAGGGCTTGGAGCTTCTAGGGCTTCCTAAACCCTAAACCCTAAACCCTAAACCGTGGCTTAAAGCTCTTGGGTTTATGTCATAGGGCCTTGGCACCAGATGTCAGACAGGAAGACCTTTCCTTGCCAGAAGACCCTCAACCCCTGCACAATGAAGATTAGGGTTTAGGGTTTAGGGTTTAGGGTTTATGAAGACCCATATCCCGAAGTTGTGACCCTTAAACCTTTAAGCCTTAGACCTCTTTCAGCCTCTATACCCTGGACCTTCGACCCTTTTTTTCCTAAGCCGGAAGTCGAGGCATCATCGAGAGCTTCCTGTCGAAAGACGCCTGAGCATGGCTTGCGAGCTGACACTTCTCTTCTGTGGAGGGTTTCAGGTTTTGGGGTTGTTGTTAAAGATTCTGGTATACAGGATTTAAGGTCTAGGGGAGAGTATTTATCAATTGGCTGGCCTGCTAGTAACCACCCACGGACCTGCAATTGGGGTCTCGCGCTGCGTCTCTGGAAGCTCGGCGCCTGCTATGGATGTGGCTACAATCCTGCAGGCCGTACTTTCAACCCGTGAACCTTCTGTACTCGTAGCGTAGCCTGTTCCGGAGCTGTGACAGGAAGATTCTGACTCCAGGACAGAGAACAGGCTGATTCGAGGAATCGGTGCATCAGGAGTGGGAAGATGAGTACGGAGTATTAGTGGCACCCAATAGACAATTCATGCAAATACGTTAGAGGGGTCCATATGCTGCGTGTTCTGCGAAGGTGGCTATAGTCTATAGCGGCCATGGGACGACTCAACAAGACAAACCATGGAGCATAGCCACGAAAATCCTTGTACATCGCAAAGCCACAACATCCGCAAAAAAGATGGACACTCACAGCTGCCGTTCAAAGACACTGCAATCGGATCTAACCTCCGACTCCAAATTTCGAAAGCACAGAGAATCCTCGCGAAAATCGTTTTCGAACACAAAAGTCAGCACTCGACTTTTTGATTCAGCGTTTTTTGGGTTTAGGGTTTGATGAATTAGGGGTCTCAGTAGTCCACAGCCCTCACACTATAAACCATGGGTGCATCTGCTTCCCCCTCTGCGATGCTGCCTTCGCTCGCACAAGTCCGCGCTGGCAAAGAGACGAAAAGGAACCAGGTGTGAAAGTTAGGTTTCCGAGTTCAAGGTGGGCCCATCAGCGTTTTTGGCACAAGCGTTTCTGGAGGAGTGCGTTTTCGGGGGCAGGGGCGAAGGATTTCGACATAGGGTCCAGCACCTTATAGGGGCAAGCATTAAGAGGTTTAGTTGGCGATGGTATAATGGGCCCCAAAACCCGATTCTAATTGTTAAGGCCCCTACATTATAGACCTTGGTCGGAAATCTTTGAAATTTGGCTTGGTGTTCAGGGTTTACGGGTGCCGGGTTAGGCAACCCTAAACCCGAAACCCTAAACCCAGGGTGGCTGTGACGCTTCACCGATGTCTTTTTGGAGCTGTCATCCTGGGCGATGCAAGAACCGCGGCCCCCGATTCACCGTCAGGGTCCATGTAGCCAATTAGTACACAGTATAACATAGTATCAACTTGTAAAAACATAATAAATAGATAAATAAATAAATAAATAAATATATATATATATATATATATGTATAATGTATATTATATATACCACTTTGGTTTTAAAGTAGTCCCTATGTAGGTACTTTAGGGCCAACGTATATACCGTTTGGGTACATGGACACTTAGGGTCACTTACATGATCCATCCGACAGCCTGAGGTGCACACCGTGGCTCTCTCTGCAGATGCCTCGCAGGTTGGAGCATGACTACTGAGCTTTAAACCCTAAACCCAAAACCCTAAACCCTAAACCCAAAACCCTAAACCCTAAACCCTAAACCCAAAACCCCAAACCCTAAACCCAAAACCCTAAACCACTACTGAGCATTTGTTTTGTCCAGGAGTCCATTTGAGGTGGTCGAGGTTCAGGCTCAAGGGTGCCTACGAACAGAATAGGGGGCCGATCACTTGGCAAATCCCACTTCGTTACTATCATTCGGAGATGCTCAGCCTCTAAGGCGCTCTAAGAAACCCACATCTCGCCCGCAAATCTGTTGCTGTTGTATGGGGGAAATAGGGGACCCTAATATAGTACCCTAAATAATAGGATCCTTATTATAAGGACCCCCAAAATAAGGTACCCTAATCTTTGGAAACTCCCTTATATCAAGGCACATCCAATTGAAGCAGACGGCCCGAAAGCTTGGCACCCTTGTATTGGCAGGCAGAGGCCACGTGTTGCTTATAAGTTGATGATGAAGCAGGGTTGCTGTCACGCGCCGATAAGATTAGAGAGGTGGTGTGGACAATGAGGCGAAATCGAATGTGACAGTAGACAGTATAGTCATGGTGGCGACGCTTACGAAAAGGAGGTGCGCGAGGAGCAGGACGAGGAAGAACAGGTAGACCAGATCAAGAGGAGCGTTACGGCCATACTGGCAGTGTCGAGGCGACGACGTTGAACTAGTTGCCGACAGAGATCATGGCTTTGATTCTGACATGTGCTAGCCAGTCAGGAGGACGGTGATAATGACAGCGGTGGTGGGGCTGCTGATGATGACAACGATGATGGTGGTGATTTTATCACCAATCAACCTTGAACTACAAAACCCTATTAAAAACTCTAAACCCTAAACCACAAAACCCTAAACCTTAAGCCCTAATTCCTAATCTCTAAACCCTGAATCTTAATCCCAAAACCCTAAACCCTAAACCCTGAAACTTAATCCAAAAACCCTAACCCTTAAACCCTGAATCTTAATCCAAAAACCCTAAACCCTAAACCCTGAATCTTAATCCAAAAACCCTAAACTCTAAACTCTGAATCTTAATCCAAAATCCCTAAACTCCTCTGTCACCAGGTTCTCACTGCTGGAGACGACCGAAGCGTGAGGACCTGTTTCGATTTAGCTTGCTCAAGGTAGGGGTCCCCTTGTAATACGGGTCCTGCAAAAAGGGTTTAGGGTTTAAGATTTAGGGTTTGGGTTTCGGGTTTAGGGTTGAGGGTCTTGCAATAACGATCCTGTTTTTGTGGGTGTGTTTTTCGTCAGGGGTCAGAGAACAGGACCTGGAACACCGTTCAAGTGAAGGTTCCGTGCACTTTTGGTTTCCATTGTGTTGCGTGAATTCGCGTTCTTTATGGTTTGGGGCTTAGGTTTCGGCTTGTTGATTCATGGTTTGGCGGCCACCGTAGTCTACCAGTTCGACATATGTTAGAGTTTTGGTGAGTGTTTTTCGAGATTTCGGAACGTTAATAAGTATTCGGCTAGGGTATTAGTCGATGCTGATAAGTGGAGCCCGCACTACCAAATTCATGCCAGGCGTTTTATTCGGACCCTGTAGAAACAAGTAGCTTCTGGTAGGTATAGCTTCTGGTAGGTAAAGGTGTTGATGAAGCTGCTGCCAGGATGATGTTCCGACATTGGACCACCTCAGATGTCGTTGTGAATCACCCGAAATATCATTCCTTGAACCATGGTAGCCCATCGTTGACTTGGAACAGAAGTTGTTGAAACGCTTAACTGAGTTGTGCTACACACGCTTACAACCCTAGCCACATGTACCCCGCGTACATTTGGGCTCAGTGGAAATCACTTCTCCGTTCCTTGGCCTGTCCACAAGGCAGGAATTGTCAACGTGCGTCTCTTCCTTGGGAGATTCGGCTCTTGAGTTTCACGTAACGCTTCGATTCATGGCTTAGGGCTGGTCCGGATCCAGCTCTACCCACTTCATGAATATAGTCCTCTTTGCCGCTTTCATGCTCCTGCACATTACCGTCAAGCGCTCTGAGCTAGGTAAGGATGTCAGATGTTGTGTCTTTTTGTCTACCTGGTCCCTCAGCTCTGATTAGCTCCTTTTTGTGCTACTTCCTCATTACCAGCATGTGGCATGTGGTTCCCCAGAAGAGGAAGTTTCCTGTAGGGAAGGTCTGTGCCCTGGAAGAACACCACGCAACCCTGAAACCTTCATGTGGGGGCCCTCATGATTGCAGCAGGGCATTGGGTTCTTCTTTTCGAAGTCATAATATACCCCAAAATCCGTAACTTAGTCTTAACCCTAAGGGTCCATGTACCTAAATAGTATATACATTGGCCCTAAAGTACCTATATAGGGACTACATTAAGGCCAATGTATACACTGTTTGGGTACATGGACCATGGACCCTAAACCCTAAACCCTAAACCCTAAACCCTAAATACCCTAAACCCTAAACCCTTTAAGGAATATCCCACTATTTGGGTACATGGACTCTTGGGGTAAGGCCCGGACTCGTATGTTGCCGCCTGCCTCAGGTTGCCAGAGTCTGGCCATGCGCGCCCTCGCGCGGCTAAGGCCTGGGAGGCCCATCACCAAGCAAACGCACCTTGGGGTTTAGGGTTTAGGGTTTTAGGGTTTAGGGGTTTCAGACAAGTTGGGCATCTTAAATGGGGGGGGGGGGTCCTTAGAATCAGGATCGTATATACTGCGTACACTGCTATATCCGGGTCCCTGATCTTAAGCAACAGGGCAAGGCGGGCAGCTATGCCAGGACCAGTAACTAGACGAGGCGAAGCCACCGGCTCGGCCTCTGAAGACAAGTTTCGGATGCGTTGGTTTGGGATTGGTTTAGGGTTTAGGGTTGAGGGTTTTGGGTTTAGGGTTGGATGCAAGGATTATACTTTCATAGCCTGGTGGCCAAATGCGCAAGGCGCCGTGTACAAGGACCTCTTTGCTTCACATAGGAAGCAGTACGAAATAGAACGTCAAAGGGTTGGATCATTTGGACGGATGCGCTGGAAGCCGCCACATAGCCTTAAAGCCGTATCGCTTCGCTTTCACAGTTTGAACTCCCAGAAATAGTCATCATGATCGTCATCATCATCATCATCAACATCATCATCAACATCAACATCAGAGGCAGCATCAGCATCGTCGTCATGTTCATCATGAACACCAGGATCATCTGCACGATCATTAGGCCTCTCACGTGCATGTCCATCAACATCGCATGGTGATACAGGCTTAGTAGCCTGTAGATCCCCAGGCTTCTGCTCAGGTAGAACCAGCAGAGCAAGTATGCAAAATTCTCGAAACAGCCCTTTGAGAACCTGAAGGCCCCCACCCTAGACCTCTTTATTATATGCCCTTTAAGACTTGAGAAGCTGCAACACTTACTTACACCTTGCCCCAATCCCTAACTCTTAAAGCCCGAATTCATGCCAATGTGTTGAGCGCCAAGGCTCCGATCTGTTTCCTCGATAGAACCCCAAGAGTCCAAAGGACCCAATAATCAGGTAGGGTTTAGGGTTTAGGGTTTAGGGTTAGGTTTCGGGTAGTAGCTATGTAGGTTATTATTTGGGAAAGTATATGATTATTAAATACTTGGACCCTTAGGGGAACGGAAGCCAGGTTGCGAAACCTCAGCAGTGTTGCAGGCGGGGCATCTCTTGGCGTCTGTCTGCCTGGTTCAAAGCTTAAACCCTAAAGCCGAAATCGTAAACTTGTCATGCCCTAGGCCCCTAAACCTTTAACCCTAAACCGGCCCTAGGCTAAACCCTGAACATAAACACGAGTTTGATGTGAATCAGTGGCGCTGCGCAAGGAAATCCTGTTCGAACCTTTGGAGAAGAACGGGCATCTGGGAGGGTGTGTGGTGTAATTTAGGGGCCTTAATAATTAGAATATGCATTTGGGGTTCCTTACTATAATTATCGTACAATACACCCCAAACCCTATTGTAATTATTAAGGCCCTTACATAAAGTGTACATGGGCTCAAGTGGGCTGATAAATAAGCTCTTGAGGCTAGCTGTAGGGTCACATCACACACGGGAAACCCACAGAAGTCTTTTGCATCGTTCACGAATTTCCGCGATCCTAGCCATTAGGTGCACAGGTTTTTCAAGGATCTAATATAGAAGCCAAAAGGATTACCTATACTATTCTGAGGGTTCCTTATTATAAATATACTACAAAGGAGCCCAAAAAACTATTCTAATTATTAGGGCCCCTACGTTATGCAGAACCCTGCCAACTGGTTGCGTGGAAGTACCTAGCATTACAGCTGCAAAAGCTTTCTAAGTACGGAGTATCACAGCAAGTACTCCAGTCTGTGTGCTGCTCGTACGGAAGAAGAAACCTTTCCACCTAGCACAGCATCAAGCATTCCTTTACGTGTCTCCCGCCATATTGGTGCAGTGACATGTTCATTTCGTCACAAGGCAGATCACTCATTTCTCGAGTGGGCGCCGGAGTGTCCGGCACAGTCCCGAGCTGTTTCAGGCTTTGTGTTGTTTTTGGTTTTGGGGTTTGCACAGACCCTGCGATTCTGTAGGTTTAGCCATGATCCGCATGCTTCTATTATCATGCCAAGTTGCTTCGGCGGAATAGCACGCTCACGGAAGGCTTTGTCGCAGGTAAAAACCTGCAACCATCGAAGTGGCTGAGACCGGGAATCATGCTCAATTTCTGGTTGGAGCGATATCCTAAAACCCCAAAGCCCCCTTCGCAGCAAATGGCCCAAACATCTGTACTGAAGCGACCGGCGAAGCTTATGCCGCCCAACATCCGTTCCAAGTGGCTCCCGGAGAACAGCACTGCATGCTTAAACTGTGCCCTTCCTTATTTAATAAACAAAACATAGGTTTTTGAAGAAACCTATGCACGCAAGTAGGAATAGCATCATTGGTCTGCTTTTTGGCGGCGGCCGCGAGGCTCTTGACTTGATGCTGGGCTGAACCCTGAGACTGTAAGACTCAGAATCCTAAGCCTACCTCTGCACTTAAACAACAAAGGCTAAGCCTAAGGGTTTAGGGCTCAGGGTTTAGGGTTTAAAACCTGAATATCCCCAGAAGCACAGCTTTCAATGTTCAGCGGATGGATTCCACTTGCACCCAGAGATCTTGGCAGCCGCAGCTCTGTTATAGGCACATTAACCCTATAAGGGTCCACGGGTTTAGGGTTTAGGGTTTTGGGTTTAGGGTTTAGGGTTTAGGGTTTCGGGTTTTGGGTTTTGGGTTTAGGGTGCCTGAGAGTCCATGCGCCCAAATAGTATAGACTTCGGCCCTAATGTAGTCCCTGTATAGATACGTTGGGGCCTAAGTGTATACTATTTGGGCACATGGACCCTGAGGGTGACATAACATGAAGCTGCTTAGGGCTTGTAGGGGTTTAGGGTCTAAAGTGGCGGGTCTTGAGGTTTAGGTCTAGGACATTTTCAGGTGAGTAGTTACCATTATAGGAGCCTTATAGAAGGTCTATGTACCTTATAGAAGCGTTATAGAAGCCTTGAATACCTTAAACTCCCCACCTGTAGTTCCCCCTAAACCCTAAACCGTTCCTTTAATTAGGGAGCTAAGGCTTCAGGGATGGAGGCTTAAATGTGTTAGGAGCCCGGAGCTCTGAACTTTGAAGCCTAAAGCCTGAACCCGAAACCCTAATCCCTAAACCAGAACCCGAAAACATAAACCCAGAGCCCTCAACCATAACCCGAAAACATAAACCCAAACCCCTAAACCATAACCCTAAACCCTAACCCCCCCAAAACCCGAACCCCAAAGCCTCTAGGGCTAAGGGTTTCTGGGGCCGATGGCATCTGCTACCAAATGCCTGCTGGGGCCTTTGCTGCTGCTGGGATTCTGGCTTGTGCCGAGGCCGATCCTGGAAGTTTTTGGGTTTTAAGGGTTTTTGGGTTTTGGGTTTCAGGATTTAGGGTTCGGGATTTGGGATCCATGGTTTAGGGTTTAGGGGGTTTGGGGTTCAGTGTTTAGGATTAAGGGTTTTGGGGCTGAGGGTTTAGGATTTAGGGTTTGGGGCCTTTTTTCTCTCAAAAGAAGGCCCTGGGTTCCTTTACCCTGCCTGAACCCATGTACCTTGACCGCAAAGGCTGCACTTTATGAGCGTTATAAGAGTTCTGGGAGGTGGCGGACGGGCGAGGCGGGGAGGTGGCGGGTGAGTGAGGCAGGGAGGGGGAGGGGGGGGAAACCGGGGCGGTGCAATGGAATGAAGGGATATCGTTGTCAGGCTGTCAGTCTGATCCAGGTTTCGCACAGTCCCCTGGAGACCCAAAGGATCCAACATATGCCGAGACAAACTGAAAGTGTAGCCTTTTTGAGTCGTTGCACGCTAAACCTTAAGCCTACATGCTTGGCCCGGCCGCACCAGTGTGAGCATTTGAGGTGCTTCTTTCGAACTGGCGACATAACGCTGTGAACTTTGCTTCCCTGTTGACGAAGGCGCGGCCCTGGTTCGAGCTCTTGCCGAAGAACGTAGCGCAGGTTACCATAAGAAAGACCGCCTACTACTTACTGTTACATATAATATATGTGTATAGAACATTTGTATCTGTATATGTAATCGTGTATGTATATATATATATATACATACCTCTCTCTCTCTCTCTCTGTTCCCACTTACACTTCGCCTGATAACTTCAGCCAAAACAAGCTCCATAACAAAAGCCCAGTCGGCGATCCCTAGACCCCCCCAACTACCCTCTAATATATAGCTTAAATACTCACAAAACCTAAACCCTAAACCCATAAGGACCATAAGGGCTCTATCAAAGGGCCCTTGGGGGGTGCCAGCAGAGCACTTGTGGGTTTGGGGCTCGGGCTTCGGGTGCTTTAGGTTAAGGCTCTGCACTCCATGAGAGCTGAAGTCCTAAACCCTAAACCCTAACCCCTAAAGTCATAGCTGGACCCCAAAAGTATGTAGAATAATGGCCCTTTATGGGTTTTGGGCCAGTTTTTTTGTTTTACCTACTTTGCGGGTTTAGGTAAAGGATACAGCCCTGAAGCAGGCAGCTCGCATGGCTTAACCCGCCCTAAAGCCCAAAGTCGAACATCTAAATCCTGGGCGCATGGCCACAAACTCGGTTTGGGGGGTATAATTTGGGCTTGACATAGGGGTCGTAAGAATTGCGACTACCATCCCCCTTTAGAGTGTCGGTAAGGGAGGGCTTGAAGGAGTTTCGGGTTTGGGATTTGAAAGCATGATCAAGGCCCGTGATGATGCTGCCAGCTGGACGAAACTCGACACTACAGGTTTCAGGGTTCAGGGAGCCAGCGTCAAGGAGTCTTGGGTTTGGGATCGATGTTGGGTGTCGTTCTTTTAAGGTTAACGTGGTACGACTGCAGTCCCAAAGTCAGGGCACGAAGCCCCGAAGCATCATCCACAAACTTGCGCAGCCCTTTGATAAGGTTGGTTCTTGATGAAGACCAGCAAACTGACAACCTAATACCCCAAACTACGATCACTGTAAGGTTTCCGCTGGATCCATGCTATCGAGACTTGAAGCTCATCGCGTCCTCCACGCTGCCCGGCTTTTCGACACCATGCTGCATGTTGTCAGATTTGATGGTGTGCCGTAGGATGAGAATTGAGCTTTGAATTATTTGCCCTCGATCTTGGAAGTCTTCAACATCATCATTCGGGTGTTCTGAGATCCTAACCCTAAACCCGATAAACTCTATGCTGCGCGATGAACGCATGCCCGTATCCACGGAACGGAGTTGATCCCTTCACACCCTCACATAGGGAGTTTTTCCCGACCCATGGGTTATAAGTTAGACACCGTACACCCTAAATCCCAACAGAGACACACCCTAAACCCTAAACCCTAAACCCTAAACCCAAAACGAGCAGAATTGGAGAAGACTTCGGCAAGTGACTGCCTGCAACTTCATGATGACCTGGACCCTAAAGCCCAACCCTGCTTAAGGACTTATAAGCTCAACCAATGATGAACGGTGTTTTGACTTGGGGTTCATGACTGGTCACAAGAGCCACCAGGACATGAGGGTTGGGCATGCCGAATTACAGCTTGCAGTATGTATGACTTGTACTCAAAAGACAGAGTTGCTGTAACCTTGCATGCCACAAACCCGAGTTCTCTCGGTCTCGCTGGGATCTAAGTACTCGAGTCTGAGTAATGCGAAATGTGCTGGAGCGGGGTGTATTCCAGCTTGTTCTGTCAGTCGCGCCTGTAGCCTTCACTGTGTCCTAAGGGGCAGCCTGTAACCCCCAAGCGCTGCACTCAAATCAACACCACCCGTTAAATACCACACCTTGAATCGCATGAACACCCTTGCTAAACCCCTTATACACCTGACCCTATAACGAGGCTCCTAACCCCTTTCTTTACCTCTTGTCGAAGCACCGGCCTCCGCTCAGTAGCCTAGATCAAGGGGTTAGCGTGTAGGGTTTAGGGTTCACGCTTTAGGAGGGTCCTGACATTAGGTACCTATCATAAATGTAGTACAACAAATAGCCTATACCTACTCAAATTATTAAGGTCCCTACGTTGAACTTGAGGTATATAAACCCAAAACCCTAAACCCCTCAGTATTAAGGTCCCCATGTTGAACTTGAGGTATATAAGCCCTAAACCCTTAACCCCTCAACCCTAAACCCTAAACCCCGAACCCTAAACCTTATATAAACCCTCAACCCTAAACCCTAAACCCCGAACCCTAAACCTTATATAAACCCTAAACCCTAAACCCCTCAGTATTAAGGTCGCCATGTTGCCCTAAACCGTAAACCCTAAACCCTAAACCCCTCAGTATCAAGGTCGCCATGTTGCCCTAAACCCTAAACCCTAAACCTCTAAGTATCAAGGTCGCCATGTTGCCCTAAACCCTGAACCCTAAACCTCTAAGTATTAAGGTCGCCATGTTGCCCTAAACCCTAAACCCTAAACCTCCTAAGTATTAAGGTGCCCATGTTGAGCTAAACCCTAAACCCTAAACCCTAAACCTCTAAGCATTAAGGTCGCCATGTTGGGCTTGAGGTACATGGCTCAATCAGACAGCTGGCAATCTGCTCCGTTTCCTGGGCACAAATCGCCAAGGCCAGGGTTCGAATGGGCCCAGCCTTTAGGGTTTAGGGTTTAGGGTTTAGGGTCTAGGGTTTAGGGTTTAGGGTTTAGGGTTTAGGGTCTAGGGTTTAGGGTTTAGGGTTTAGGGTTTAGGGATTAGGGTTCAGCAGCTCTGCCTCTCAGAGAACCCGATACCCCTTAATTCAGGAATATACCTTATATTATAGGGGCCTGAATATTATGATTTAAGGTATATTCCTTAATTAGGGGGTATTGGAGTCTCTGGGTACCCCCTAATTCAGGAATATACCTTAAATTATAGAGGCCTTAATATTATGACTTAAGGTATATTCCTTAAATAAGGGGTATTGGGTTCTCTGGGCTAGCCCGATAAATGCCCAAAGGAATAGAAATTGATACTTGGGCTTAGGGCAGTTATGATATGTGGTAGCATCTGGGGGGGAGGATATGTGTGGTACGTAGCATCTGGGGGAGGAAACCTCAGTGTAGTATAGAGATTATAGAGGTTTGGAGACTAGAGTATATAAGAACAATATCTTATAGACAGACCATACTGATATCATGAAATAAGCCATACCTGGAAGACGCAATTATGAAGACTTCTACATCAGTTAGGGCTGGCAGCATTAAGGCTTCGAAGGGAGAGGAAGTTGAATCATAATGATTGTCAACATAGTGCAACTGGTACAGGGACAAGCCCCTGCAGTACAACGCCAAGCCTGACTAATTACTAATATCGTTCCTCAGGTTCACTATACTATACTGCACCAGACTATACTATACAATACAATACTTTACGATACTATACTAAACTATACTCCACGAGACTATGCGATACTATACGATACTATACTATACTGTACTGTATACGTTATACAAAGTACTACATACTATTAACTATATACTGTATACTGTCTATTATATACAATCTCTCTCTACATATATATATATATATATGTATGTATCATCCACAAAACTCGATTCCTATTCCCCCATAGTACCTCTAATCCAAAACCGGTTGATCGGCAATCTGCTCTTTGGGCCGGCTGTAGGAAAAGAAAGCAGCAACCGCGACGACTTTTTAGGGTTTTTAGGGTTTTGGGAGCCCCGTACAGCTTGACTGCGTTTGAGGGCGTTACCGTAGGTTTTAGGCAGTTCAGCTTTTACAGCATTGGGGTTTAGGGTTTAGGGAGCCCTAACCTTAAACCAGCACCGCATAATTCGTAAGCTAGGGGATGTGGGGACAAGAGGCCTCGCCATTTCCCTGGTGGCACTGCCTAGAACGTAAGTGCCATCAAGACAACCATAGCCATGTTTGAACCCTAAACCGAAGCCCTAAACCCTAAACCCTAAACCCTAAACCCTAAACCCTAAACCCTAAACCCTAAACCCTAAACCGCCTAAAGCCTAAACCCTAAACCGAAGCCTCAAACCATAGACTCCTAGACCCTAAACCCCTAAACCCTCAAACTCGAAGCAGGCCCCCGGAAGTCCGAAACCAAGAAACCCTTGAACCTACTTTAGGGCTCCGGTTGCACAAATAATGATAATACAAAAATAAGAATCATAATAATATTAATAATAATAACAATAATAATAATGGGTTATTGGATTTCATATTCTATGTCCAGGTTTTTAGGGTTTAGGGTTTAGGGTCTGGGGCTTGGGGTTTAGGGTTTAGGGCGATTTAGGTATCTAGAGGTGTACGGCTAGACATACCTTGGACAGGCAGGACAAGGACCAAGCTCCATTTTGCTTGGCCCAGCGACTTCTCAAAGCTACCGGCCCTCTGGCGCCTCCTTCTGAAACAGTGCTCTCTTTTTTCTGGAGCTTAACTTGTCAGTCTTCTGGATGTCGGTTTGGTTGAGAGTGTATTGTTGGGCTGTGGCTTTGCTCGGCTGATTTGGGGTTGCATCCCGGTTCCTGGGGTTTGTGTATTTTGCAGCAGTCAACTTCAACCAAGTCGTTGTCATGAATCTAAACCCTAAACCCTCAACCCTAAACCCTAAACTCTAAAGCGTTCAGGGTTTGGATTCCGGGCAGGGCTTCTGCGGTTCAGGGCTCAGGGTTTCAGGGTGTGGGGCTGAGGGCGTTGGGGTTCCAGCTTTTGGGGATTAGGGTTTGGAGTTTCGGTCGCAAGGGGGGTTTAGGGTTTAGGGTTTGGTGTGTTTCGGGCTCACGTGCTCAATTCCCTGGTCTGCCGCATGTGATGGCACAAGGGCGACTTCATAAGGCTGCAGAATGAGTACTCGGATGTTCATGGGTAGTTATATGTGGGCTTATAAGTAAGGTAACTATAGTTATAACCTATATTCGGGGACTTATAACTCCACTTATAACTACCCATGAACCTCCAAGTATGACACCTTATAGACCCCTTATTGGACCCCTTATAGAGCCCTTAAAGAACCCTTAAAGATCCCTTGAAGGAGCCTTATAACTATGAACCTCCAAGTACAGAGACAGTGTGGGCATACTTTGGACATTAGAGATTAGGGTTTAGGGTTTAGGGTTTAGGGTTTTAGGGTTTAGGGTTTTAGGGTTTGGGGTTTAGCCTTGCCCTGACCGAGCCGTCTTGAAGCATGAGAAGGTTCAGGCCAGATGAAAACGGTAAAGCCCAAACTTCAACCTTAATAGGGTTTAGGGTTTACGGGTTTTTGGGGTTTAGGGGTTTAGGAGTTTAGGGTTTAGGGTTTAGGGTTTAGGGGATGACGGTGGAATGGACAGTCGGGGAGGTCATCAGCCACGGGTGTCTAATGACCCAACATCGCACTGAGGTGATGTTTGTGGAGACGCGCTATTTGGAAGAGCCCCCTGGTGGAGTGGTTCACGGTGTAAGGGGCTGAAGTTGTAGTAAACGATCAGAGGTAATTCCAAACCCAGAAACTTAGTGGCTGAGTAGGTAACCTTTAACCTTTTGGGTTTTTATTTAATCCTACCATATTTGAAAAGGTTAACTTTTTTTGGGCTAGGGTACTCAGCCCCTAAGGAAACTTCCAACCCAGGTTCGTTGATCTTCTGGAAGGCAACCGCCGCGAAACGCAGAGGCCGCTTGGCCAATGAACGGCGAATGAGGCGACTGGAATCCGGACCGGAATGGATCCTCGCTGCCCAAACAAGGCTAGGCTAAGGAAGGACCTCTCAAGCGAAACGCAGAAAAAGGCAGATAAACTTAAGTACTACTAGCAAAAGCAGTGGTCATCCTGGCAATTGTGGTCGTAGTCGTGGTCGGGGTCGTGGTTGTCGTCGTCATCCACCTTGTCGTCGTGCAGTTGCAGTACGGGTAGTGGTAGTGGTCGTCCTCGTCCCCGACGTTGTGGCAGTAAGAACAGTAGTCGGAGGAGTAGGCGTATAAGTATCAGTACGCCAGCACCCTCGTCCTGATCGTCGTCCTGATCATCATCATCATCATGATCATCACCATCCATTTAGTCGCCATCCTCGTCGGGTGTAGGTTTTAGCTTGGATGCAAAGACATCCCAAACCTAAACCCTCCAAGCCCTAGCCGTAAACCCTACGTTAATGTCTAAAGCCTACAACCTCGAAGCTCTAAGCCCTCAACCCTACCCTAATCTCTACCTAGACCCGAACGAACCCTACCTTTTTTAAGGACTCCTATAAGGAACTCAATATAAGGACTTCTAAAAAGGTAGGTTCTCTAGGGTCCAGGTAAACCCTACCCTAAAACCCTAAACCGTAAACCCCAATCTCAAAACCCTACCTATATAGTCTCCATTGCAGCTCCTTTTTCTGGTTTAACCAATTATATACTAAGGATTTTATAAGGTATCCCCAAAAAGGAACTACAATGGAGACTATAGGTAAACCCTAAACCCCTAAAGCTTCGAAGCCCAGGTTCGTGATCGTCACGGCGGGCTCAGATGTTCCTCTCAGGCGTGAGCTCCAGGGAAGGCGCCCCTTGCCTGTTCGAGAGACACGAGCGAGAAGGATAGACAGATCTGATTAGGGTTTTGGGTTTAATAGGTTTGAGGGTTTAGGGCTTAATAGGGTTAAGGGTTTAGGGTTTGATAAGGTTTAGGGTTTAGAGTTCACTAAGGTTTATATAGATTTGATCAGATTTAGGGTTCAGGTTTAGTTGGGTTTAGGGTTTAAGAGGTTTGAGGGTTTAGGGCTTCATAGGGCTGAGGGTTTAGGATACTGATGATCATAATAGTACCAGAAAGAGTGACCGTCGTAATCGCAGTCGAAATGACCAGCAACTAATTGTGACTTTAACAGTAGATAGTACCAACACTAGCAATAGGAATAGGAATAGGAATGGGAATAGTGGAATGGGAATAGCAGCAATATTAGCAGCAGCAGGACGAGGAGGAGGAGCAGTAGCAGCAGCAGCAG